AGGAGTTTTGGCCCATTCGGGTGTGTTCAGACCCGTCAGACAAGAAGGCAAAGCGGCTCTATCCGAGTGGCTGGGTCCCTCGGCAGACGCAGACGTTCGCCGGCTAGTGCATAGCAGGCCTCCTCTGCACAGTGATGCTATCCATCAGATTACTTTGGAGGAGATTGATAAGGGCTTTTGCAGCCCGTTGCGGAGTCTGAAGGTGATGGATGACTTGTTTGGACAGGGTGGATGGAGGGCGGTTGAGCGTTTCCTGATCATCCAGCCGGATGGTCAACAAGGGGCGATAGACAATGCGAGAAAGTGTGGACACAACCACCATACGACGATGCCTGAGACCATCTCCACGGTCAATGTTGACTTTGTGGCTGCGGTGGCTCGCATGGTGGACTCAGCATTTGATCTTGACCGCACACCACCTCCCAGCTGGTTGGATCTCCGTCTGGGCACGGATGATCTCCCAGAGGCATACAGGGGTTTGCCTGTATGTGACGAACACCTCTGCTACTCAGATGTGGCCATTTTCGTCCCACATGTTGGTTGGAGGTTCACCACTATGTAGGGACTTGTTTATGGCTTGGAGAGTGCAGTTGGGAATTTTAACAGGTTTCCGCAACTGGGTGTAGCCATTGTGAGGCGATGCCTCCTTGGGTTCGCGGCCGCGTACTTCGATGACGAGTTGGCCGTCGATCTCATCCAGGATCATGATGTGTCCCAGGTTGGTTTGCAACTGACGTTCAGGTTGTTAGGCGCACCGCCACAGCCTGCGAAGTCGTTCGCCCCGGGGCACAACCGACATTACCTCGAAACATCCGTCCATGTTGGAGACTTTCGTTCATGAGGGTTTGATCCGATTTCAACCCAAGTTTTCCACATCCACCAAGATTTTAAAGAAACTGCGTGCTGCCCTGGACACATCCAGTCTCTCCCCTGATGATGCCGGCAAGCTCCGGGGCGACCTCAACTGGATGTTTTCCATGTGCGCTGGCTATGCAAGCCGTATTGGGGGACCGTTGCTCGCAGCCAAACAGAAAGCGGCATCTCCAGATCTTTCCAGGGATGATTGCCTGACACTGCGGCTTCTCGCGGCCATTGTGGCTTGCCCCGAACCGCGGGTCATCTCTGTCCGGTCTAAACCAGCAACACCCCTGATCATCTACTCTGATGCGTCATTTGAGAATGATACACTCCGGCTGGGCTGGGTGATCATGTGGCGAACTGACACCCCCTGTGGGGTGACCTGCACAGTCCCCCAGCGGGTCATCAGCTCATGGCAACCCCGCAGCCAGCAGATCTACCCGGGTGAAACCTTGTGTGGACTGCTGGTTCCCTGGTTCCATGGACACGCTCTGGCCGACTTGGATGTATTGTGGTTTGTGGACAACGAAGCTGTAGTGGCTTCCCTGTTTCGGGGCGGGAGCTCTCAGGCAGATGTCCACACCATGGTTCAACTTGCGCATTATTTGCTACAGCATTTTCGGATTCGAGTATGGTTCGAGTGGATTGATAGCCACTCCAACCCCTCGGATGGCCTAAGTCGGGTGGGTCTCCTTGATTCGTGGACCCAGCTCCAACCTTGGCACCTTTTTGAAGACGATTTTTCCCCCTGCTCTCGCACAGGTCGCCCGTCCAGAGGACCTTTCCTCTTCTCTTCCAGTATGGACAGTGGGTGAAGTTGACTTTTGACAGTGGGTTGGATGGCAAGTTCATCTAAGATGACTTACCAAGCTAGTCTG